TATTGCTGCACCTTCTAAATCTCCTTCATGCTGCTGCTAAAGAGAAGATTGTCGTCCACATAGACCAGAAACAGCACCAGCTTCTCCCCCTCCCCCTTGAGAAAGAGGCTCTCATCACAGCTGCTGGTCCTGAATCCCATCACCTCTAAAACAGCTGCCAACTTCTGGTACCAGCAGCGTGGCGCCTGCTTCAAGCCATAGATGGACTTTTTCAGCTTGCACACCCTGCCCGTACCATCCTCATACCCAGGCGGCTGCGTCATGTACACATCCTCCTCTAAAATCCCATTGAGGAATGCCGTTGATATATCCATCTGAATGATGAATTTCCCACTAACGGTTGCATCTGCCAACAAGACACGGAGGGTAGGGGGTTTGGCAGTGGGAGCAAAGATCTCATTGAAGTCCCGCTTCTCCTTCTGCATAAACCCCTTAGCTACCAGCCTTCTCTTGTAGATGGTGACCCGTCCCTTGTCATCGGTCTTGATCCTTAGCACCCACTTGCACTGTACGGCTTTCTTCCCCTCAGGCAGCACCACCAGCTCCCATGTTCCATTCTCGAGCAGGCTCTAGTACTCAGCATCCCTGGAAACCAGCCACTTCTCCCTATCTCGTTCAGCTAATGCCTCCTCCATGCTAGCTGGTTCCTCTTGTGCAAGGGCAAGAAAACAGTACGCACGTTCATCCTCGTCATCCGGATCATGGCCATGCGGTAGAATCAGCAATGCCTCCTCTGTCCCAAGCTGCTGCTCTGCTACATCAGCTCCTGCAATCAGCTTCTTAGTAGCCATACGGGTACGTCCTAGCCTGGAGACAGGAGATGAGGTTGGCCTTGAGTTCAAGAACGAGGAGAACGTCGTGCAGCACCACCGGCTTGCCATCCGCTCCCTTAAACGCAGCTCGTCCCGCACCAGCCACCTTCAGCGCATGTCCAGAGGCGAAGCACACCTCGTTGATCGGTGCAGCGCGTACGTGGTCCAGCAGGTCCTTGCGCGGCGTCATCCTCCAAGCAGCGCCCGTGTCCAACACCCAATAGTCCAGGGGGTGCAGCTCTGCTCCAACCTTGGCAGAGGCGTCTCTTTGCTCCCCCTGCTCTCCAATATCGAAGAACTAGCCCGCGGTGCGCTCCTTCTTCTTTTCCGCACCGCCGTTGCTCTTCAGGTTGTTATCGGACGAATCGGCGACCATGCTCGCGCCGTTTTTCTGGTTCCTCTGCGCGCCGCCATCCTGGTGACGATTCTGGGGGGTCCATCCGTCGGGTTTCTTATAGCACAAAAACCAGGGGTGCCCCTCCTTCTCACAATACCAGCAACTCCCTTTCATTTTGCCACCAGCACCCGACTTGCCCCCACGTCCAGATTTCGCACCGCGACCCCAACCGGTACCTCCTTGTTGGTCGTTGGAGTCGTCGTCCTTCTTTGCACCGCGTCTAGCACCACCAAAGCCACGTCCTCTGCCACGTCGGCTCCCTTGCATTCCGTAGCCGCTGCTGCCGTCGTCTCCACCCCTCAGTTGGCGGCGACAGAACTCCTCCTCCAGAATCTTTGTCCGCACCCACTCGAGTGTCCACGAGCTCTGGTTCTGCGGCAGGCTCAATCCGCTCGTGAATTGAAGCCACAATTCCAGCAGCAGCGAGAGCATCTTCAAGCACTTGGTCTGCTCCGGGTAGATGATTCCCGCGGTCACCAACTTCGCGTAGAGGTCGCGCATCTTGTCGAGGACAGGTTGCACCGGCTCTCCCTCGCTCACGCGCAACGCGGACAGCTCCCTCTCCAGCATCAACGTTGCAACAACGAAGGTCTGGGCGTGCAGTTCCTTCAACACAGTCCACGCCTTCGGACCGCACTCAACCTCCGGCAGCAGGTGCATGACGTGGTGACGCTGGTCCAGCTCCAAACTCTACGACATCAAATAGTAGCCAGCCGAGGAGCGCTCATCCCAATGTTCCTGTAGTGCGGGGTCACTCGGTCTAGGCTCCTCCCCTATAATTAGTTTCAGCAAATCGATCTGACGGAAATACAATTGCATTTTCCAGGCCCAATCATCATAGCCCTCACCATTGAACTTCTCGACGGTGAAGTTCTTCAGCACCTCCTTGACCAGCGAGCCCTGGTTTGTTCGCGCTCCCCTTGGCGCCGAAACATCAGAATCGTGGTTGCCGCTACGATCTTGGGCTGAAGATTCACCAGCTCCTGTCAAGGTGTTGCCCGCCATAGCTACCTATAACGAGGATCACTATAACTTAGCTTTGATACCAGCTTGTTTATGTAAGGGCTTAATAAACTCAAGCTATTAAGACTTTATCAAACTTAAAACCTCTCCTCGGGTCACCTCCAAGGGTCCTTGGGTGCCTGATACAAGACCAGCCCCTATCCTCGGGTCCGAGTTTGTAGAGAGAGGGATCAAGAGGGACTTAGTCAAAACAGCAAGAGTACCTCGAACGTCGCGCAGCGTATCGTGCAGACCGTTAATCGGAATTAGCTGAGAATTTCCTATATTGAAGCTCGCTCCAAGAGCTTTAAAATGAACCAAGTTGCCTCGCGAAAAGTTCTGCCATTACGAAGTTATGGCTCGGACAGCGTTTGCCTAGTGTTGGAGTGCTAGCGTACTAGCGTTGACTCGGGTAGCATTCCGCCATTGCACCGCGTAGAAACGAAATTCCAGGAAGGGAGGAATTTGCTTGAATCAAATTGAGTATATCCAGGTACAAACAGAGAAGGAATAAATGGTTCTAGCTAGCAAGGACTTTGGGAATAAACCTGGGAACAACCAGGGATGATACCAAATAATTCCAAGCAACAGAACCAACCTGGCTGGACAAAACAGCAGGTGGTAGGTTGGTAAACAACCTCTGGTTCTGTTTTTCCAACCTGGGAAAACAACAACCAGGTTCAAGTCCTAAAAACAAAACCTGTTTTGTCTTTGCCCAACCAGCCAAATGCTGGTTCCGCTGGTTTCCCCTGGCCCTGCAGTATACAGATACAGATAAACAACATCCAACCTTCACCTAAATTGTACCCCTATAGTGCCGGCCCTGCTACACTATTGTCAACCAAACAAAACAGTACAATTTCGAGTTGGATAGAACTGAATCTGCGCAAACAATTCAACCGAACCGCAAAGCTTCCATCTTGGGTTCCTTTGCGAGCTCGTCCTTTCTGCTTGTACTGTTCATAGCGCGTACAATGTTGTGCCGAAGCGCACAATGTGCGAGTACCTGCAAATGCTTCAAGCAAAAATTGCGAAAGCAATCAAACACACGAACATTCCATTCACACCCAAATGCATTTGCACACGCATAGTCGTACAAACAGACTGCAGGATGTCATGCAATGTGAATTTGCACCCAACAACAACTCACATGCAATGGAGAGTACCTTGACCGAGAATGCTGCAACTTCAAGCGGAGGGCAGCAAGTGACAAACGGGGAGAAAATGAAAAGTAATGATGGAAGGGGCGGACACTCAACTCTCGTACACTGAATTTGCAAGCAACTGGGCCACCCATTCTATAAGTGCCACACGACACCACTAGGATGGTCACCACTGGGGTGGGAACCTCAAAACAAAAGGAGGGCCAACCAACGCACCAGCAACAGCCGTTTAACCTCTCCCCAAAGAAGTGGCAGCCCCAAGCATGACAACAATGAGCCAAAAGAGCAAGGGGCAGCCAAGACAAGCACCAAACATACCATTACCTGCATTGCAACAATTCGGTTATCCCAAGCTGCACTACCCTCGGCTGGAGGGTTCTTATGGCTGCTGGATAGCGGATTCAGCCAGCACATAACATCGAATAAACAATGGCTTGAGGTTTTGAAGGAGTTGGACGAGCCTGTACGCATGGAGCTTGCCGATGGGAGCACTCTGAACAGCTCAATGGTGGGCATAATCAGAGTAAAAGCACCCTATGGGATAACAGTTTGGTACATCGAAGTGCTCTACGTACCCGGTTTGAAGAGTAATCTCCTTTCATTCTGTCAGCTACTAAAACATGGAACTCGAATTCACACTACAGATGATGGAGATGGGAATGTACGAATTGGACTTGGCAAGAATGTGCTCGGATTGCTTATGGTGGAATATGAGCCAGCACTTGTTTCTGCCCATGAATCTGGACATACTCATGAGGATGCACCATCGAATGCGCATGGTCATTTTGGATTGAACGGTCAATCTGCTATTGCATCCGTCATCTATTGTATCGCGCACATGACTTGTGTCGTGATGGACATGGCACGTGATGTTGACATGGACACTCACTCACCACGCACCTTTGATGACATGTTGCTGGATTCTGGGACTTTGCTTGGACACCAACAGAACGCGAATAAAGTCCCACCCCACGTTGCGGTGTGGACTTCAGGGGGAGAAGGAAATGAAGAAGGTGGACCAGATTTTGCAAAACAAGATCTACATAGACATGATGCAGCTACTGTGGTCAATGCAGCCAAAGTAAAATGAGGTGCTGCAGCAAATACCTTACATGCAGCAAGCGTATCTCTACCAGAGGAGGTTGAAGATGAAGCTGGAACAAGTTGAGATATGCAACAACAGGCGTGACCAAAGACCAGCCTGCACCCGCGAAAGGAAATGACATCACTTGCAGCCTCTTATGCGGCCTTCAACCAGTTCTGCCTGGTGCGAAATCTGCACAGGATGAGCAAGTCAGTGGTGCACTCACATGTACGGGCTTCTCGAGGTACGCTGCACAACTGGAGGTCACTTAACCCCACACACCTCACTTGTGTGTTCGCAGCCATGTGCAAGCTCACACACATACACACGAGTGAGAGGGGGAGTGGGGTGTGGAGTCTCTTGCAGAGCAAAAGAACATTTATTCGGGAGTTCATTTTCACTTTTGAAGTTCATCAACAAGGCAGTCAAGACATCAAGATCATGAGAAAACCTACTGTTCCATTAGCAAGCAAGATAAGGGAAATGAGGAGAAGTCTTTTGGTGGTTGGCGATTGCAGCTGGTCGCCCCTGCAGTTCACCTCATGCTCGCCTCTACTCTGCCCTCATGCTCGCCTCTACTCTGCCCTCATGCTCGCCTCTACTCTGCCCTCATGCTCGCCTCTACTCTGCCCTCATGCTCGCCTGTACTCTGCCCTCATGCTCGCCTCTACTCTGCCCTCATGCTCGCCTGTACTCTGCCCTCATGCTCGCCTCTACTCTGCCCTCATGCTCACCTCTACTCTACCCTCATGCTCGCCTGTACTCTGCCCTCATGCTCGCCTCTACTCTGCCCTCATGCTCGCCTGTACTCTGCCCTCATGCTCGCCTCTACTCTGCCCTCATGCTCGCCTCTACTCTGCCCTCATGCTTGCCTGTACTCTGCCCTCATGCTCGCCTCTACTCTGCCCTCATGCTCGCCTCTACTCTACCCTCATGCTCGCCTGTACTCTGCCCTCATGCTCGCCTCTACTCTGCCCTCATGCTCGCCTGTACTCTGCCCTCATGCTCGCCTCTACTCTGCCCTCATGCTCGCCTCTACTCTGCCCTCATGCTCGCCTGTACTCTGCCCTCATGCTCGCCTCTACTCTGCCCTCATGCTCGCCTCTACTCTGCCCTCATGCTCGCTTGTATTATTTTCTCATGCTCGCCTCTACTCTGCCCTCATGCTCGCCTCTACTCTGCCCTCATGCTCGCCTCTACTCTGCCCTCATGCTTGCCTGTACTCTGCCCTCATGCTCGCCTCTACTCTGCCCTCATGCTCGCCTCTACTCTGCCCTTATGCTCGACTGTACTCTGCCCTCATGCTCGCCTCTACTCTGCCCTCATGTTCGCCTCTACTCTGCCCTCATGCTCGCCTCTACTCTGCCCTCATGCTCGCCTCTACTCTGCCCTCATGCTCGCCTGTATTATTTTCTCATGCTCGCCTCTACTCTGCCCTCATGCTCGCCTCTACTCTGCCCTCATGCTCGCCTCTACTCTGCCCTCATGCTCGCCTCTACTCTGCCCTCATGCTCGCCTGTATTATTTTCTCATGCTCGCCTCTACTCTGCCCTCATGCTCGCCTCTACTCTGCCCTCATGTTCGTCTCTACTCTGCCCTCATGCTCGCCTCTACTCTGCCCTCATGCTCGCCTCTACTCTGCCCTCATGCTCGCCTCTACTCTGCCCCCATGCTCGCCTCTACTCTGCCCTCATGCTCGCCTCTACTCTGCCCTCATGCTCGCCTCTACTCTGCCCTTATGCTCGCCTCTACTCTGCCCTCATGCTCGCCTCTACTCTGCCCTCATGCTCGCCTCTACTCTGCCCTCATGCTCGCCTCTACTCTGCCCTCATGCTCGCCTCTACTCTGCCCTCATGCTCGCCTCTACTCTGCCCTCATGCTTGCTTCTACTCTGCCCTCATGCTCGCCTCTACTCTGCCCTCATGCTCGCCTCTACTCTGCCCTCGTTCTTGCCTGTACTCTTTTCTCATGCTCGCCTCTACTCTGCCCCCATGCTCGCCTCTACTCTGCCCTCATGCTCGCTTCTACTCTGCCCTCATGCTCGCCTCTACTCTGCCCTCATGCTCGCCTGTACTCTGCCCTCATGCTCGCCTGTACTCTGCCCTCATGCTCGCCTCTACTCTGCCCTCATGCTCGCCTCTACTCTGCCCTCATGCTCGCCTCTACTCTGCCCTCATGCTCGCCTCTACTCTGCCGTCATGCTCGCCTCTACTCTGCCCTCATGCTCGCCTCTACTCTTCCCTCATGCTCGTCTCTACTCTGCCCTCATGCTCGCCTCTACTCTGCCCTCATGCTCGCCTCTACTCTGCCCTCATGCTCGCCTCTACTCTGCCCTCATGCTCGCCTCTACTCTGCCCTCATGCTCGCCTCTACTCTGCCCTCATGCTCGCCTCTACTCTGCCCTCATGCTCGTCTCTACTCTGCCCTCATGCTCGCCTCTACTCTGCCCTCATGCTCGCCTCTACTCTGCCCTCATGCTCGCCTCTACTCTGCCCTCATGCTCGCCTCTACTCTGCCCTCATGCTCGCCTCCACTCTTTTCTCATGCTCTGTCCACGCATCTACACCCTTAGTCCCTCACACCTCTAGTCTGGAATTTTTCTGTGTGCAGAGAAGTGGGAGGGGCTGGATGTGTGCGAGCAATTCTCGCTGCAGCAGATGCTAAGGGCCACCAACAACTGGTCGGAGGACAATGTGCTGGGCAAGGGTGGCTTTGGCATTGTATACAAAGGCCGCTCTCCACAGGGCCAGCTGTGGGCCATCAAGCGATCCACCATCATGACCAACGACTTCGAAACGGAGGTGAGGACAAAAAAATCAGTACTTGTCAGAACACATGCACTGTGAATCCTCGATTGATCCCAGGGAAGGTTTACAAGCACTCTTGCATGGGGTTTATGGATGCACTCACCCGCTCCTTAACAACCATTCCATCCTAGTTGTGCAGTAGCTTAATCCTGACGTGATAACAGAGCAAAGGTTTCCGATTCGAAACTTCATATGCGCACATACTGGCGCCCATGTGTTGTTGCCACTGTACCGTGTCCTAAGTCATCCCAGTGAGGGGTGAGGGGTTGGGGGGGGGGGTGCCAGTAGACGTGCACTGGGGATCCCCCGATTGATACTGAGAAATGGCTACAAGCACGCTTGCCTAGGGGATAATGGACGCGCTCACTACTTTAAAAAGCGCTTTTATCCCAGTGGTGTAGTGACTTAGATTCTAGGAATATTTTTTGTTGCTCAGAATGCTAACATTCTAATTCGGGGCCACATTGTGTTCTTCAAAATGCTGACCTCCAGCTTAAATCCATGCACATCCCCCTGCATTGTGATCCATGTACATGTGACAACTGCTGACCTGCGAACCGAATGCCCGCCATTCCATGGCCATGTGCGTCATTGCCTGTCTTGTGTTCTCACTACAGGTGCGAGCCATGGCCTCTCTCCACCACACACACCTTGTGCGCCTGCTGGGCTTTTGCCTGGACCAGAACGTGGAGACAGGCAAGCAGGAGCAGATCCTCGTGTACGATTTCATAGGCAACAGGGACATGGAGTACCATATCCACAGGACCAAGCGTGAGTTTGCACTATGGTTGCCACGCGCCTTTTGTTTACATTATTATTAATTTTCTTGCACAGCATGACACCATCACTCACAAACCTATCATCCATATGTTGTTTGTTTTTCTCACTACATGGTATACTCGTTGCATGGCCCAGGTCCGCTCTCTCTATGCCAGAGGCTGCGCCTGGCACTGGGAGCAGCAGAGGGCTTGGCGTACCTGCAAGGGTTTGACGCGCCCATCGTTCACTGTGACATCAAGCCCGCCAACATTCTTGTGACTGAAGACATGCAAGCCAAGGTGGCTGACTTTGGGCTGCTCAAGCGCCTCACTCACGGCGATGCTGATGCCACGCGAGTTGCTGGCACTCCGGGCTATGTGGATCCGGATTACAACCGCACCAATGTCATCACAGCCAAGAGTGACGTGTTCAGGTCAGTATGCTTGTTCCTTTCCACAACACATTACACTTCTGCGCCCCTGTTTCTCTTAATATCCAGGTTATGCTAAATACCTGTACCATGTACCTCTCTCTCTCTTTTTCTCCATCTTTTTCCCTCTTATATTAAATGCATGATTGCTTGCAGCTTTGGAGTTGTGCTTCTTGAGCTGCTGAGTGGAAAGTCGCCCCAAGTCAACACAAGAACGCACATATGCAAATGGGTAAGTGTGTTATCCAAGATTTGAGTTTGCTAAAAAACAAATAAAAATAGTGCATTTAAGATAATGTTAATGTCCATCGAATCTCAAATGGATCTAATGGCCACTCATTTATCCGTAATTCACTTTTGTGCTACCACTCATTTGTACAGTAATGTTTTTGTCATCTTGCTGCCTTCCACCGTCTTCCATACTTAGCATGCTGCTTTCCATCACCCTTTCTTTTATAAACTCCTTCCAGGCTATGAAGCTGGTGGAGACATGAGCTAGAAGAGCTGAGGGACAGCAAGATGCCGGCGGCAAGTGAAGAGGCTATAGTGGAACTTGCAGACCTGGCTCTGGACTGCATCAAGTCTCCCGGCACACGGCGACCCACTATGAAGGATGTGGCATACCGCCTCAGTGCCCTCATTGCCAAGCACTGCCCCGACAAGGAGGATGAGTGGGAGAGTGCCACAGAAGAAGAGAGTGAAAGCAACAAGGGTAGTTAAACTAGGGATGCTTTTGCTATGTCATTTGGAGACAGCAGGAGGGAGGCTGAGAGGCCGCATGGTTCACAGTCTGGTCTGAGTTCATTTGTGCGCGTTGGCTCGATAGGTGATGGCCTCAAGAGCTGGCTGCACTCGAAGCCAACCAAAGGGCGTTAAAAATGCCCATAATGACGGTACCCATGTGTATTTGGCATGAATGTTTACTGTAATTCCCCGGGTATAACACCCTAGCGTGATATAAACTCTACAAATAAAGGCGTCCCTTTTCAACGGGTACAAAATATGAAGGACCCGAGTTGCTTCGCATGAAAATATTGTGCAAAGTTATAACAAACAACGTGGCAGGTTTTATCCACGATCTTGTTGAACATACTTGCATTCCCAGGACATAGGACATAAAGCATCCGACACTGATTTGGAAAATGCATTGTTATATTGTATAATTAATGGTTTTTTTTTAGCTGAATTATTTTGCTAGCAGACATTTGGTATGACATGGCTGCATTGAATCTATCTTCACCAACCTTGCGAAATATGCCATAACGAAAGTCCCGCTTCGATTCAACCAGAATAAGGGCGTGGAACCGGTTCTGCCATTACGAAGTTATGGCTCGGACAGCGTTTGCCTAGTGTTGGAGTGCTAGCGTACTAGCGTTGACTCGGGTAGCATTCCGCCATTGCACCGCGTAGAAACGAAATTCCAGGAAGGGAGGAATTCGCTTGAATCAAATTGAGTATATCCAGGTACAAACAGAGAAGGAATAAGTAGTTCTAGCTAGCAAGGACCTTGGGAATAAACCTGGGAACAACCAGGGATGATCCCAAATAATTCCAAGCAACAGAACCAACCTGGCTAGACAAAACAGCAGGTGGTAGGTTGGTAAACAACCTCTGGTTCTATTTTTCCAACCTGGGAAAACAACAAAAGATGAAGCATAACTTCGTATCAAAAGATGAAGCATTTCTTGAGTTCTGAATTTTGGCGCCCTAAGGGATATGCTGTAGCTGAAACTTAACTCAATCACAATTGTTCACACAAGAACCACAAAGAATATTCTGTCAACGGGAGTTGTGTGTTGGCCCCGTCCTCGCTTGGGCGGAGCCGACATCGTGGTCGGGGTGAGGGGAGCAGCCGACCTGCGGCAGTGGGCCAGCTGGTTGACGAGGAGGTCGACCTGCACGGGGATCACTGCACGGGCGCCGACTCCAGGGTGGCGCCGACTTCGGGGGGGGTCGACTTGGGAGTCGACCTGCGGAGGACGTCAACTTGGTGACATCAACTTGGGGAAGCCGACTTCGGTGGTCGGGTGACGGACTGCTGGTCGACCTGCGGGTGGTCGACTGGACCTGGTGGTCGACGAAGGAGGGGCCGACATCGACCTCGACTCAGGACGCCGAGCACGAGGTTGACGTGGTGTGTGCGCTGTGCAGGTGACGAGACTCTGCACGCCAATCATCTGCGCACACCTGCGAAGCGGGTGCACTGCTGTTCTGCGCAAGCAACGCTGGCACGCTGTCAACATGCGACGTTGGCACGCCGTCGACCTTGCCTTGCTGGAGCGCGATCGACCAAGTCGTGCTGGAACGCGGTCGACCAAGCTGCGCTGGCAGTTGGCTGACCTGAATGCTTGCTCTGATGTAGTCTTGCTATGCCAACTTCATTGTATCATTGTTCTGAACTTTTCCTAGTGGAACTCTTGCCAATTTTCCCCGTGAACTAGCAAGTAGTGTGTGCACAAGGAAAACGACTAAGGACTAACGAACGCAGAGATCACACGAGCACCCGTGCCTAGCCCGTAGTCTAGCTCCCGTTGTAGCAGTTATCTCCGCATGGTGCGGTGAGCGTGGACGGCACACAACTTACCTTTCAGTCAGGTCGACGTAGACACCACTTACCTATTTTGTAGTTACAGGCCGGCAACTGTGCGGTAGTCACTATGGTAGGAGCCGTAGGTGACGCGGGGGTGGTGGACTCCCTGGAGGCACGGTTGGAGAACGCGAGGAGGAAGCACGAGGCCAACGAGTATGGCGACTTGCCCTGGGCGGTCGTCAAGGCTGGACTCCGCTCCATGTGGGCGACAGAGCACCCGTCTCGACCTGCCTCTCCTCGTCCGGTGAACAACGAAGGCGGCGTCGACGTGGGCGTCAACGCCGGTGGTGGTCAAGCCGGCAGCAGTGGTGGAGGTACGTCGAGGCAGAGAGGTGTGATACACGCCGGTGAAGTCGGCGGCGTTCAGACGCAAGGGATGCAGTCGTCGGCGGCTGCAGGCTCTTTGCAGGGTGACGTCGGAGGTCGACGGAGTGGGCTGTCGCCGATGTCGGCGTCCCAGGTGACGGCAGGCGGGATTGCGCCGAGCTACGGCTACTTCAAGTTCACGCCGGACAGGATCTCAGTCACCCCCCCACTGGTCGGTCGACCCGACATTCTCACCTGGAAGGAAGCTATCGAGCCCCAGCTGGAGATGGCCGGGCTGATCGGCTTCGCCCGAGGGACCGTGGCGACGCCGGGGGAGCACCACCCCGACTTGCGGGCGGAGTTTCGCGCCGTGCAGCTGTTGACCTTCACGATCATCTCGCGGTGCTGCTCGCCGGGCGTGCAGATCGCCTTAAAGTGGTGCCCGGAGTACATCGACGCCGGCCACCGGGCGTGGCACTTCATTGAGTCGACGTACCAGGTCACCGATGACCTGTTCATCGCCCAGCTGGAGGGACAGCTGACGCACCTGCGTATGGGTGACGAGGAGACAGCGACTGACTACTGCAACCTAGCCCGACGAATTCTTGCCACCATCTGGATGGCCGGCGCGCAGTACTCCACGGCGTCGTACATCACCCATGTCATGCAGGGACTTTCTAGCAGCTATAACCTCCTGAAGCGGCTGTCAATGGCGCCGAGCACAAGGGCGACGCTCAACGAGGACAACCTAACCTCGTACATCCTGCAGGACGAGGCGATGCAGGAGGCTGAGCGGTCACAGGAGCTCTTGGCGCAAGCCAACTTCGTCGCCCCGGCGAAGCAAGGAGGCCGACCAGGACAGCGCGGACAGTCTGGTGGCGGCGGGAGTGGTGGCTGGAAGTCGACCAAGGAGGTCGAGAAGAAGTCGACCAAGGACGGCGGTCGAGAAGGAGGAGGTCGACGTCGAGAGTGCTGGATCTGCCACAGCCCCGATCACCTCTCCTTCGAGTGTCCCGACCGCAGTGACTCCGACGAGAACGACAAGGGCGGCCGCGGGAGGCCGAGCAGTCGTCGTCCTCGTCAAAGAGGGAAACCGGCCGCGCAAGGAGAAGCAGTCGACCAAGATGTCGACTTCGGCGAAGGACGCCGACTCCCGTGCTAGCGGCAAGGCGCGGGATGACAAGACGGCGTCGTGCTCGCTGGTCAGCGTCGTGGAGCCGACCGTCTCGCTGGCGCCGGAGGCCGGAGAGGACTTCCAGGCGGTGGCGGCAGCTGTGCAGGCGAACCCGGCGGTGGTCCTGCTCGACAGCGGTTGCTCCCACCACCTGATGGGGACGAAGGAAGCCTTCGTTGACCTGCACCCGAGCGGCGCCATCAGGCATGTGCGCGGCTTCAATGGGGCGCTGCAGGACATCCAGTGCCGTGGCACCGTCGCCCTACAAGGGGAGGCCGGGAAGCAGGTACTCATCCCCGACGTACTGTATGTCCCGGGTGTGCGGGCCAACCTGCTGTCGTCCGGCCTGCTGAAGGAGCACGGCGTGAAGCTGCACGAGGACGGAGAGGGAATGATGCTCGTCTCTGCAGCCGGAGCGGTGCTCAGTCGGGCGACGTACTCCGGGCGTGTCCTCTGCACCGACCTGCGTCCCTGCTCAACGAGGTCGACGTCGCCCACGACGGAGGTTGTGGCTCTGCGGGCGATCGTCTCGAAGACGAAGTCGACCCCGGACCGGATGCATGCGCGGCTTGCACATGTCGGCATGGACACCATACGGATCTCGGCGAAGAACAAGGTCGCCATTGGGCTGGACCTCAAGTCGGCGACGGACGCCGACTCCCCGTGTGTCACGTGCGTCGGCGGGAAACTGGCGTGGCACACCTTCCCCGACCAAGGCTCCGACGCCGACGACGTGCTGGCCGTCGTGCACATCGACCTGTGCGGGCCGTTCCGCGTGGCTGCCAAGGATAGCAGCCTGTACTTCTTGCTGCTGAAGGACCGCAAGACCCGCTACGTGTGGGTGAAGCCGGTCGCCAAGAAGTCAGATGCGTTGCGGGTGTTCGTGCAGTGGCTGGCGGTGGCTGAGCGGCAGACGAAGAAGTCGGTGTTGATGCTGCGCTCTGACCCGGGAGGGGAGTTCCTCGGGAAGCAGTTCACCGACTTCGTGAACGGCAAGGGGATCGTCCACGACCTGACCTGCCCATACACCCCGCAGCAGAACGGCATGGCGGGGCGTGAGATGAGGACGGTGGTGGAGTCGGTGTGGACAATGCTGCTGCACATGGGCGTGCAGCACCACTGGTGGCACCTCGCTCTCCGGCAGGGCGTCTGGGTCCGCAACTGCCTTGGGAGGTCGGCGCTGCCGCCGGGGACGACGCCGTACCAGCTGCTGACCGGGAAGAAGCCCGACTTGTCGCTGGCACGGGTGTGGGGCTGCATGGTGCAGTTCCTTGTCCCTGAGCAGCAGCGTGGTGGGAAGCTGAAGCCGAAGGCCAGGTGGGGCCTGCACCTTGGCGTGTCGGCGGCGAGCAAGGGCTGGGAGCTCCTCGACGTCGACACCGACCGAGTGGTCACCACGTCGGACGTGGTGTTCTACGAGGAGATGTCGCTGGCCGAGTGGAAGGCGGAGCATGGGCCGGTGTCTGGCCGCTCGTCGTCCACCCCGCCCTCTGACACCTCGTCGGCGACGCTGCCGCTGCTTGCCGAGGTCTGTGAGCTTGCTACTGAGGACGTCGAGGACGTCCGCCCCCCTACCCCTCCCCCTCTGACCCCTGCCCCTCCCCTCGTGGCCGACCTGCATGGGCTGACCTCGGTGTTGGCCTCCAGCGA